AGGACCATTTTTCAGCCGTAGGTTTTAGCCCTTCTGCTCTCATATGAAAGCCCAAAGACCCACGGAGTTGATCCTGGCAACGATTTACACAATCTCACCATTTTGGGGGCCAAACAATCTCTTTTTTCAAAAGATACTGTGGGGGGGGCACTTTTAATGCTAATGAGCTGGTCAAAAATTCTCACTTGAATTAGTGGTCTGGCACCCTTTAGTTGAGGTTCGTGCATAGCCCTACAATTGTCTTGACCCGGACTCGTACAAGGGGATTTTCAATGAGAGCAGCATGGTACCGACCAGCAGCATTAGAGTCCAGCATACATATTGTATATATATCAGTTTATTTTGTGGCTTACGGTATTTAAACAATAAGAACATGTATATCCCATTATAGTATTATACAAGAGTACACACAAAACGTTTTTTCCCGATTTTTTTAAAATATACATTTATCTTTCGTTTTTAGTTTGCCTGAACATGGACGTAGGAAAATTAACTTCAACTCGTGCTTTTAGTTTTATTTTTTACGCACAAGATGATTTTAAATATACATGTAACTAAATTTGATAAAAATAAAATTGTAAATTACCAATGCGATTGATTTTTAAACAGCAAGAATAAGGAATGGAACAGGGGCAGATCCACTGCTGTGGGGATTCCCGTTCGCACAGGGGGTGGGGGACTACTACATGTAGCTGTCGCCGTCGGCAAAGCAATTTAATACCTTTGTTTTGTCGTTAACCGTGTACACGCGAAATAAGACCCTTATACATGTACTTTCAGGGGCTCCTTCCAATCTTAAGAAGTAGGTCCCTTACAAAAAAAAACAAAAAAAAACTGACGATAAGCAAGGATGTTGACCTGCAATCCCCCCGAATCAGCGCCTTACAGAACTACGCTCAGCGATTTAAAATTCATTACAAACCAAGTGGCTATAACCTTTCAATACATCTTCAAAAGTCTCCACGTGTACATCTGTTGCTGTATTTATTATGATATTTACTGCAAAGGATTTATCTTTTAGTAACTACTTCTAACACTTTTTGCTTGATTGTGAAAACATTACAATAATTAAAATACGGAGAACTAACACTTAGATCCCAGAACAATAAGAATTCAGAATGTTTGAATTTATTATTTTCTGACCATGAAAGTACACATAACTGTAATTGGCAATTTTTCAACTTGCAAATGTGCCATTCTTTCAGCTTTTTGAGAATGAAAATTATGAAAATCGGCCACACTAAACTGAATTACACTTGATTCTGTAAGAGGTGGTGTTTTAATAGCTGAGCAAAGCGGGAAAAAAGGGAAAGGTACGTGTAAATTTACTTAAAACTGCTTCGTTCTTAATGCTTAAAATTTCTTAGTCTTAGTTTGGCAAGAAAGCTAAGAAATATGGAAAGATGATTATTACGAAGTCAAAACCAATTCAAGTTATTTTCATAGTCAACCATACAGTGAGCATTTGGGAGTTCGGATAATTCTGGGACAACCTGTATTATCACTTTTTATATTTTATTTTTACACTGAACCACATAAACTCACAATTGTCTTGGAGGGATCATTTTAGGATGCATATAGTAGGTATGTCAATATTTAAGAACAAGTTTATTGTCTTCATTATCATCACTGAATATCTCCGTAAGAACTTTTCTATCTCTTTTTTGTTTCCTCCCAAATGTACCCCCATTTTTCATCCCAAGAGCAGCAGAGACAACACCATTCTGATTCCCATGTTTCTTTCTCAACCGGTCCAACAACGAAACGGGACTGTTCTCTTCATGAGAAGTGACTTCTATAGGACTGTTCAAAAGATATACTGAACTGTGATTAAAGGTTGTTTGTGTTTGGTCAGAGTTGGTCCATGATTGGCTGTCTGAATGAGTTGACAAGCTGTGATGAAGGGCTCCAAGAGCTGTTCCCAAATGAGCCCTGGAGATGTTCAAGTCTCTTGAATGCCTAGGAAGGTGTGAAACAGGTGTTATAACTATTGGATGGCAATGGTCTCCGGCTCTTTTGAGCTCTGATTGGTTAGTTATTCTACCAAATGATTCATTTGCTACAGAAGGGGTGTCCACATCAATAGGCAGTGGGGCAAATGCTCTGTCCAAATTCTCATCAGTAGTAGTTTCTGTCGGTATTTGTCCCATGTCACTGGCTGACAAACAAGGTGACTCAGATTCCAAATCTCCTTGATTCACAGTGAAAATTCCACAAAGTTCTTTTTCAACTGTGAAATTCATCCCAACATCCTGAGGTGGAATGTTTTTTATTACTATTTGATTTCTTTCCAGCCTTCCATTTTTCTGCCGATGCATATCTGAATCTACATCCTCAAATTTCTCTTGGGGAAAGCACTTTAAGTGCTTTTTGAAAGTGTTATAGTTGACTTTTGCATTCTCAGATTGATTCTTGCTAGTTGTCTCTCTATTTGGCATTTCTCCTGATCGCTGAAGACTTGAATTGCTATCCTGTGATGCTTCATTCTTTACATCTCTTTTTTGACCTTGGCATGGAAGCAACATCACCTCACACTCTCTGTTGGCTGATGAACTACTTACCCCTTTGTATGGATCAAGCAGCTCTGACTTCTCAACTGACATTGGATTGCCAAGCAATTGCTCTGGTCTTTCATCCTTCATTCCAAATGTCTCATTTCTCTGCAGTAAACTTTCATCTTCAGTGAGAATATTTGTCAGTTCAAATTTCAAGCTGAAATTAGGATACTGAGTGTATCCAGGAGAGGGACATTCAAGTGATGTTTGCTTTTGAGATCGTTGGTTATCAGCAAGTTCTCTAGAGGCAGATGCTTTCTGAGCTTGTGTGTGTTCTGGTGCTTTGTCCTCTTCATGTTCAATGGGTCTTAGATATTCAAAGTGGCATACAGAATCACTGTTGGCATTTTTGATGAACAGGTTCTTTTGAAGTGACAGAGACACAGAAGACTGTTTCTTTGCCAGTGGGCTTCCTGCTCCAACTACTGATGAAGAATGTTTAGCTCTGCTGGGATCACAATTTGCAGGTTTAGCAAAACCAAACAACTGATTATCCTGAGGCACAGTGCCATCACACAAAAGCATCTTAGTAAGCTCAAAGCCAAGAGTGAAGTTAGCATCTTCTGCAATGACTGACAAAGGAGGACTGATATCTGTTGGTGATGACGAGGGACTGTTTGATTCTTCTACTGAAAGTAATAATTGATTGTGAAATGATTCTGCCCTAAAATCATCTGTAAGCACCTTTTTCCCAGCCTTGGGAGATGCACTGACTAGGTTAGGAGTCTCAGAGGATGAAGATGAATATGAGTCATTCAAAGATATGGTCTCAAGAACTTCCTTGAGTCGAAGCCGCTCACTGAGAGGAAGTAGTTCTGCCTCAATGTCATCATCAGTGGCAGAGCACGAGGTATTTCCTAGTGAAGATATATAATGTGTTCTTGACTGGCTGGGTTTTCTATTCATGGGAATGCCACTGATGTTTCCGATGAACGGTCCATTAGTAAGTGAAGTTGGAAACATGTCTTCTGAAGAAGTTGTGCTCTTGTTGAACGTCCAATCCATCCTCTGGAAAATGTCATGTTTACCACAGGTATTACAGCAAGACACTGACTTGGGATGATTGGAGTTTGTGAGGGGTGGCTTCTCGATCCAACAAGATGACACAACATCAGGCAGAGCCAAGTGATCCTGGTAATTACCAAAATGTGAGGTAGTCTCTGTCAGTAGGCATGAGTGATCATTACTGGGTTCGATATGTTGATCGGATTTCAAGCTTAAATCAGCAACAGCTGAAGCAAGATGCTCAAGATTCCCTTCACTGCTGGATGGATAGCAGTGGTCAGGAGAGTCGCATGTATCCTTGGAACTGTCCTTGGTGGATTTGGAAGTCTTTTTTTCCCCTGAAATCAGATTGAACAAACTTAAGAACACCAGAGGCAAGCAAATTTTATTTTACTGTAAATATCTACCAGTAACATATCTACATGTATTAAAGTCAATGTACATGTAAATGACTTGAGGTCTTGGAAAAAGTGTTAACTGTTCCTGTATTACCACTTGCTTATATGTCCACAAATTCAATAAATTTACCTTATCAGACAAAGGATTTCATTGTTTCAAAAGAAACAATCTTAATAACAGAGTCAACGAACCGCAAATAATTGACATACAAATCTGTAACTTCAGAAATGCACTTCAATTAAATTTACTGTTTATTACCAGTAGGAATAAAGCATAAAGCTAATTCCATATAAAGCTGATATAAATTTGTCATCCTAAATTTGGTGATGACATCAAATCTCCTCAACATGCAGATTGTAAATAAATATTTCTCTGGCAGCACATCATGATGGTTAATTTTGATATCAACACAAGCCTATATCAGCTGTTAAATTATATAATTAACCCAAAATTAAAGGAATACAACATGTTTATCACATGACACTGCTACTGTCAAACAAAATGGAAAGAACATCAAATCAACGGACTTACGTTTCTGCTTTGTTTTGAAAGCTTTGGTTTCTTCAAAGGTTGTCATCAATTCAGGGAAGGCTTTGGAAAATACTTCCTCCTTCTCGATGGTGGTTGGAAACTCCAGCTCTGAATGAGGAATTCCAGCTACTCCAATGATAAAGACAGAAATGGAGTAATTTGAGAATTGACATGCATTCTGGAAAGTACATGTAGCTCAAGAAACTGAATGTCACGCTTCTTGACATACAGTGTATATTGTACAAACATAGATAATTACAGAATGTCTTATGACTAAATTTTAAGTGTACAGACATACATGTAGCAACATGCCACATATCTATATGGCCAATATAAAAAAGTCTCCGGTTTCTGGGCAGCACGCATCACTGTTGACCTGCATGTCGGCAAAATAAAAAAGTTTTTATTTGGTATAAAACAATGTCCAGAGCTCCCAAACTTGCTTAATTGACTGGAATCCTGCTAGTGAGTAATTTTAACGCCTTTTTGATAAGATACGGTTGAGTAATATGTAGAGTAAAGGGGTCCCTCTTGTTCCTCATACATTAAGTCGGGCACTTTTTTTTCAAATGATATCATTTCTGTATTATACATACATTTATTTACATCTGGGAAACAAACGAGGTGGTCTTATGTCCTGTGTACATGAACAAGCTGATAATGGTTTAAAACAGTAAAAAGTGTGGGGGCCAGCTTGTTTCAGTGATGGTAGCAGCTGGCATTATGTGTGCATGCAGTTGCGATGGACACTCCACAGTATACAAATGAGGGTGAGAAAAACAAGTGAGGGTGAAAAAAATGTTCATTAAAAAGGCATTCCAGTGTACTGAAACAATGCAAGAAATGAAGAACAGCTTACTTTGCCACTGAACCTCCACACATGGCACACCTTGCCTCACCCTCTTCTTGATCACAGCAGTTGGTGTCAGATGAAATTTAGGATCAAAGGGCTGACCAGATGATAAGGCCTGGAGGTCCCACAGAGTGACAAGTGGAAACACCTTCTCTACAGTGTAGTCCTTGGGCCACTCCAGCTTGGATGAAATGAATTTCTGCAATGGCAGGACAAACTTCATCAAACTTTAACAGATTTTTCGAAATGGCAACATGTACATGTAAGGGTGGGGGGAGAAAGAGGGCAGCTGCTGCCCAAGCCACTGGATGCACCACGATGACACCGAGACTAGGAGGGCAACTCCCCCCCCACACTGGATGCACCACGATGACACCGAGACTAGGAGGGCAACTCCCCCCCCCACACTGGATGCACCACGATGACACCGAGACTAGGAGGGCAACTTCCCCTCCCCCACACTGGATGCACCACTATGGGTCTGACACTTGAACAGTAGTGGCACTGTGTGCGTGGCATTTAATCGAAGAAGCTAGGGTTTTGTGTACAGTCAGAACAGAGTGTGTATTCTGTGCGATATGCACATAAACAGGTGCACACATATGAAAGGTAAGCTCACAGGACTGTCATTCCTAGGTAACAATATAGATGCTTTGCATGGTAGCCATTTTGTAGGGCAGTTCTTTTGTTTCACAGGGAAACCTACTTTGTGCATACCGTGTGACCAAAAGCACTGGCCTGCAGGATGGCACCCATGCTAATCCTCTATATTGCCTCCCTTCATGCTCTTGTTGATACATTGAGTCCATTAACAAGATACATGTAAGCTGGCGACTAACAACCTTTTGAACTTCATGGCCTTTGAAAGAGAAAACTCACAATACCAAAATACTGCACAGTGTGGATAAATTGGAGGTTAAAGCGAACAAAGACGGAATTACCTGTGCAGCTATAAGCTGCGGTCTCCTCCGGGCAAAGTCTGTCTCAGAACACTTGTCTTTTACCACCAAGAACTCATCTATCACCTGCTCATTGGGAAAATCTGGTACAGCACAGGCCTTCCTATTTAAAAAAATTATATAAAAGGCATCAGTGTAGTTATCGGGTAATACACGTAATAGTCTGATACAACACAAGGCTCCCTATCAAGATTGATATAAAAAGATGTAGAGATTGTACCTAAAAGAATGATGTAGTCACTGGTACAGAACATACTGAAGATGGGACAGTAAGATGGTGCTTTAGTCAGAGTATAACCCCTTCCTGTTATCACAAATTCGGTGAAGATGGAAGTCTAGTTAGAACAAACATTCAGTTATAACAACTGAACTGTACATGTCACAATGGGGAAATATTGCTTAAAACAAGCACAGACAATACAAAATGTTGTTTTAAACAACTTTCTTTACAGGATTATACCCAAAAGCATTACATGAAATTGCTACCTATTTACAACATAAGCGATAAGCGATGCTCATGTAGTTGTATGAAGGCTTCATTCATGGGCTTTCATTTAGATCATGTCCTTTAGTAGAGCCTCACCCCTCTACTTTGGTGCAATGTCAAAAGATCCACAGTGTAATGAATCACATGTACACTTTGGCACAGTTAGTACACTTTACCCAATTTTGCACTCTGCAAAAAACTCTGCCGTCCAGTTAAAAACTGTTTCATTGAAGACTGACCCTAATCCATTGATTTAGAAATACGGCAATAAAAATCTGTATTTAAAGAACCAGAGTTTTCTGCAATTTAAAATAAACTCAACCAAAAATGGAATTAAAAATAACTGTTGAATCCTAAGCTCTCTATTGCCTGCCAATTACATGTACATGTGGGTTTTCCCTACACTGAGGTTTGTGCACTACAGGGGTGAAATTGAAGGAAAATGAAATATTAACAAAATTAGAATGGCAAAGCTGCCATGGCTCGCTGCTTGTTATGAATTTGAATTTATTTTCTGTAATAATAGGAAAGAGACATCCAAGTTATACAAAATGGTTACTAAATTAAACAAGAAAATACTAACCAAGCTTCATCAATATTACAAGATTGGTTGACTACAGATGTACAAGATATTTTATCGACCTTAGCAATAAAATTCATTGTACTCTAGGAGAAAAAACATAGTTAGTGTGTGCAAACTGTGTGTTGAAAGGCGCCTGTCGTTTAAAAGTAAATCAACAAAGACCACTAACAAGGGAGACACAGATACAAAGGCTCCACAGGTCTTTCATCCTACCCATCTTCTACACTGATCCTTCCCCATCATCCTATCCATCCTACTCCGTCCCTCCCCATCATCCTATCCATCCTACTCCGTCCCTCCCCATCATCCCATCCTTTTCCTACTTTGTCCCTTCCCCATCATCCTATCCATTTCCTACTCCGCCCCCTCCCCATCATTAATTCCCATCACTTCTTACCCTGGCTGTCTCATCATCCCACTAATCCAGCCTAACCATTATGCCAACCTTATCCAGCATTTCATCCACTTACCACATAAATGTACACGTACCTTGTCCCCACGATCCTCCTCCTACATGTACATGCAGGTACCCCTCTCCCAACAAACATCACTTGGAGTCCCCCCCCATCCCTTACATTTTCCCCACATGCTGTACATGTACATTTGTATGTGTCTAAACACTGTCTATACACCCGTACATTACAGGAGTGCTCGGTACATTATGTACTGTATATACTACAGGGTAAGTACACAATACTACTCAGAACGTTAACATTCAATGTTTATAATTTTTTCATTAAATTCATAAGTTTCTTAGCATTAATGCCATATGAGACTATTTAAATACTGATGAAGTTCCAAGAGGAAGCAAACAAGTACTCAATGGCACATTTGAACATCTACATGTATAGCCCTGCAAGGAAAAACTTCAACATTTGGGGATGGCTGGATGGCCGCTACGGACGCATTGACAGAAGACGGAAATCGGTATTACATACATGTACTGTACATGTAGGCTTGCACTTGGTTCGCAGCTTGCCAATAATCACCAAAGGTTGAAGGCCCTACAGCAGCACACATGTAAAGTCTATGGTATAAATTTGTATTTGCCTAAATGTGCATGCACTAGCACCCCTTAAAATACCCATTTCTCATGCTCAATATCCTTTTACATGTAAAACACCGTGCAACAGTTGTATGGGATATCATACAAGTTGTTTGTACATTAGCGAACAGATAGATGCAGAAAAGTGAACAAAGGATTTTCCAGAGTTTAAAGAGATCTGTCAGGAAAAATCATGACACTGTACATCTCACCCCTATTCATTGTAAATACTGTAATTCAACTTCACTTACAGTTACAAGTACAAGTTTTTTCATAATAAACCCTTCAATTTCATCGTATATTTTACTTGCATGCAATTATGGCATGGATGCACACAATGCATGCGCAGTGAATGCTCATACACACACATCTACTGAAGTTCAAATAGAACATTTTGTCAAGGTCTTGTAAGTTTTGCACTACTTACATGTAACTGTACACATATTTGCTTCATGTTGATAATGGATTCAAACTACATGTATCTTCTGCTCCTCATTTGTGACAAGGGCTGGAGGCTGGTACAAGTAAGGATGAAATAAGTTAAAGTCTGGAATATGAATAGCAATGGCAGTCATTCCTTACTTCATGACATCAGGTTCCAGAGAGGATTTTCCTTTGGACTTTGCTGACACATGCTTGGGGCAGGAACACACAGGAGTGTCCACAGACTTTGGCTGGCAAGCAACATCACTTTTACAGAAAGCACAGCCATACACCTTGTGTTCCCTCAGTGAACCTATATGTGTGCACTTGCTGCAATGTGGCAACTTCTTGGGAGCTGCTGTGAAAAATAAAACAAAGTGACCAACTTTCAATTGCTTAAACCCTGACCCTGCTGGATACAGCACAGTGCATTCAGTGAAAAAGTCTGCTGCAATTTGATGCACTAGGCAACCCAAAGCAGCCAAACAAAATGGCCTTGTGGAAGCTAGTCCCATTGAACATTGCCAGTGTTGGATCTTGCGGTGACTGGCAACTACATGTACAGACTCCTGCCAGGCTGTTTGGCACTGTGGAGAGTTGACCCATTGGATCTTGTTACACTGGGCAAGGCTAGCCACTTTGACAAATGATGCAGACTGATGTGTCTGGCAGGGTTTCTAGCCAAAGTACCCTGGGGGGGGATTAGGGTTTTACCATATAATTATGTATCATATGTGACCCACTTTGAAAAAATCAGTCACATGTTGCCAAAGCCACTTTTCAGTTGAAGGCATTCGAAAGAATCTTGCTCAGCACATGAATTTAATAGGAATCCTCAACATCTTAACATACCGGGTAAACACAACGTCCATTTTTATCATACCGAACTGAGTGAAACATCAAAACAAAAGTTCAAATTTGTCAACCTCAAAGTAAAACTCAAAAGTGGCTCCGGTGACTTGAGACTCATATTTGCAGAGCAAGTCACAAACTGTATATGTACTTTATTATGTTCTGTTCCAATACACCTATCAAAATATCGTTGCTCACTACATGTAAATCGGTAAGAGAGGGAAGTGTTGTCCCAACAGTTTCAACATACATGTACAAGTGGTGTTTGAGAGTTTCAAAATGAAATGTTGAATACTTTTTATTAACCCTTTCGCACCGGGACGTGGCTAGACACGCCGTATAAATTGAGATCCTCAGCCTGTTTTTCAGCTATTATTCTTGGCCCACGCTCGAGCGATTACGGTGAAAGAAGGCAGACCCTGGCTCTTGTATATATGGTGATTGGCCTTTATGTGTAGCCCAGAAATGAAAAGACCAAATTTGCATCATAACCACCAGCTTCACAATAGTCCCCACTTGGAAAAGAGGCAACGAGAATGTGGAAGCGTGAGTACAGCCGCATGCCACCGAACAATCAGCCTTTTCACCATGTAATTCTGCAGAGCCCGCAGGGCCACGAACCGAGAATTGCGGTTTGGCAGGTGGCCTTCTTGGCCAAGCGAGGCTGGAATTCTTGGAGTCGGCTTTCGGGAAGAAATTCCCGGCGCAAAGGGGTTAAATTATTTCACGTTTGCCCAACAATTAAACAGATTGTACATATGGCGTACATGTATAAATGCTTTATACTAAAATGTTTGCCAGATCAAACACTGATACACATGTACATGTACCTACCTGATATGTAGATGTCATTAAAAAAGAGATTATAAAGCAGAGCATATGTGCATGAGCCTGGACTTGCACTGCAGCAGACAGAGCTAAATGTATTAACTCATTATTCCCTGCACACATAGTGTATCTGTACACATAAAAACAGTTTCATAGAGTTCAATGAGAAATATAGCCCTGTTCATCCATCCTCCACTATCCAAACTGCATCTACAGGGTTTAAATTCAAACATCTTATGTTCATGCATACGGTATGTACATGAACATGTACCTTCCTGTAGGCAATCCCTTGGTATCCTCCCATTTGCCCAGTCTCGAAACCTATCCAGTACGTCCACTCCAGGTCCAAGCTGCTTCATTAGCCCCAGGGCCTGCTTAGGACCAATCCCTACTACTCCTGGGGTGTAGTCACAGCCAAGGAGAAGACCAAGAGCAATAAGTTTGCTCTGGTCCAGTCCAAGCTGCGCCTCAATCTCATCCATGGAGTAACACTCAATGTGGGGATCCTGAGAAATTGGAGAGAATGTATACAAGGACCTTAGATACATGTAGTCAAACCTATCCTGGAAGTTATAAGATTCATGCCAGGGAAAACAATAACATCATCTGCTACATGTATGAGAATCAGGGTTTCATGTTCCTAAAAACCCTGAGACTTTACGAGTTCATATTTAAGTGCAACAGATGAAAACAAGCTTGCCTTCGTGTTAAGGGTAAAGTTCTTGTAGACAGTGCGGGCCCCATATAGAAATACATCTCCATCCTCAGTTACACAGGCATCTGCAAGCTGATGGAAAATCTCAAGTTGCAGTATCATCTACACTTATTCACCATTCTACAAATATGGAGCTTCCAACTTAAGTGAGAAAAACTTCAAATACAACACATTATACACAGAAAATCAAGCGCCCACGTTATTTTTCTTCAACTAAATATTTATTTTAGTGGTTAGACAAACAAAATAATTCCAAGTTTTACCCAGTTTCTGAATGTCATAAAAAATTATGAAATATCAGTTGCACAGCTTTTGCCCTGGTTTTCAAAATCCAATACATGCTGTGCGTGTATATGCCGACTGCACTGGTAGCCACTTGAGGACAGTGTTACATGTACTTCATAATGAACTAGTCTCAGGCAGAGTATTATTTTTGCCCCCAAATTCTACCATTTTAAAGCAATAAGATATCACAAACACAACCATCACCAATTGAAAGTTGATCATTTCTCCAAATTTCGTCACCGTTTTCACAAAGAGCCATACATGAAGATTTTCAAGAAAAATGGTTTGAGATAATCACCAGAGATGTTTCTCCTAATTTAAAAGTGCAAAACATACTGATATTGAACAAGTTCAATCAGTAAAAACCCTTCAATGATTCTTTTAGAGGTAAACTTTTACCTGAACCAAGAAATTAAAATGCACACAGTGGCTATTAAGTCAAAATCGATTAGTAAGGATGACTGCCCATTTGTGAAATCAAAAGTCCATGTTTCCTACATGTACAATGTGGCTTATCTATGTATTTTTTTCAAAGAGAAGGGGGAAAAGTGTTCACATACTGTATATATATGCATACCGCTGTGAATGTAAGAGAGATGTGTCTCTCAATGAAAACAAAAATCTCAGTTGACCAACATTTCAGCCTTTACAATCAATATGTTCTGTACACGTATGTGAACGAGATTTGTGTCTCTTTTCTGGATCTAAATGAATCTTGTGTGCCAGCCAACAGTGCCAAAACTATTTTACAGAAAAATCACCTACTGCAGATACAGTACATGTAGTTATGTTACATCTACATATATGTGTATATGAACGTGTGTAATAACTGGCCTTGGCAACTGTGGCCTCAGCCTTGGCCTTGAATGGTAGTGACCTGACCTTGAAAGTTGTGGACTTGACTCCAACACTGCCCTCTTACCCCTTGAACGTTTATAAGAGCACACAAGGCTTCTGCCTCCCCAACAGCCTGCACACAAGGTACACCAAGATTCTCCAACATCTCCTGACACTGGGGAAGAAAAAAAATGTTTCCATTCTTTCCAATTAGTCCACATCGTACCAAATCCCACATGTACACGTATGTACATCTCAATAGGCCTTTTCACACTAGACAAATCTCGGGGTTGACGCTAGGTTGAAGCAGGGATGAAAACTGGCAGCGATTCACAATTGACAATTTTCAATGCTGCGCCAACCCTGTGTCAACCCCGAGATCGACTTCAACCCGGGTTGAACTCAACCCTGCTCCGGACCAGGGGTGAGATTTTCAACCTGGGTTGAAAATTCCTTATGCTCACTTGCAGGTTGAACTTACCCCGATAATAAGCTCAATTCACATGAAACAAATGTGAAACAATTCTGGGTTGAATCTACATGTAGGGTTGAAAAATCCAATTTTCAACCCAAGGCGGTCATGGGCTCACCCAGGGTTGAGGGGCTGTATTGTGAAAAGGCCTATAAACAGTCCCCTTAGCAGCCCATCATTATGTTTCCCCTTTTCCATTAATTACTATATACTCGGTACGTGTATGTCATGTTCAAGGTACACACTGTAGTCTATAATTATTTATACTGTATACATGTAGCTTTCATGATCATCTGTGAGGTCAAAATGCCAGCTTTCTTTTTGCAAAGAGGGAAAACTAGCCACCTGAGTGCCTTTTTAGTGATTCTTTTGGCCATATTTTAGACAGTATGACAACAATTCTGAACCCCTCCTTGATTCAACTAGTACATGTATGAATTGTAGAATACATGTATATCGGTAATGGTTTGCTTTTCTCATATCCCAATCAAAGGAGATACCATTGTACATGTACTGCCATGGTCCCACACTCTCATGCAGGGTCTTCAACTTGTGCCCTGTAAGTGCCCTTTGTTAGTTATCTGGGCAAAAGCATGGCACTACCACAGCAATGGCTTCCGAGCTTGGTAACTACCACAGCAATGGCCTCCAAGCTTGGTAACTACCACAGCAATGTCTTCTGAGCTTGGCAACTACCACAGCAATGGCTTCCAAGCTTGGTAACTACCACAGCAATGGCTTCCAAGCTTGGTAACTACTAACGACTGAACATGAACTGGATTATTTTACAGTATACCGGTACATGTACATGTAATTTCACTACCTACGTTGGGCATTCTGGGTCAAGAATGGAAAGACCTAAGCCTTTAATCATCTTGAATTTATCATCAAAATGTGCAGTTATTCAAATACATGTTCTGTTTACTCACGACAGAAACTGGACTTGACAGAATTGAATCATGCAAAATTAGGTGCAACACCTGGGCACAGAATGGCTAGAAAAACAAGAAACTTACCTCTTTCACAACAAACTTAAAACGTTTTCGTTCTTTCTTCTTTCCTTCTGTCACATCCATACTGGCAACAGTAGCAGCCCTGCCTGCTGTTTTATTCCGTTTGCACCTGCTCCGCCCCCATCTACATGTACCTCGTCCCTTACCCTCAAAGCGGGCTTGGGTGCGTCTCTCCATCTCATCCCACTTCAACTCGGGTGGTTCACCATCCACAACGAAAATCAGGTTGACTCCAATCTGGGTGAGATTGGTGATGCGGAAGAAGAGGTTCCTACATGTACATTGCACATAAGTTGTTGGGCAAGGAAAGGGGAAAAACAATTACACATCTAACTGCAATTAACGGTTTTTGCAAATGAACTTGAAAATGTATCTAGATAAATTACCGTCCAAAAAGAACTCTGGACATGACAACTTGGGCGCATTCCTTGTTAAGGAAATTACACATGAAATTGCTTCTCCTCTGTTAAAAATTTTAACCTATTGTTTATATCAGGAACCGTGCCTAATGACTTTAAGGTTGCTGAAGTAATTCCTGTATTCAAAACTGGTGACAGCTTATATCCAATTACCGTCCTATTTCTATACTACCGTGTCTTTCCAAAGTCTTAGAACGTCTGGTAGCAAATCGTCTGGATTCATTTTAACCAAGTGCAATATCTTAAGTAAGTCACAGTATGGATTTCGTGCAAACTACTCAACCCAAATGGCTCTAATAAAAATAGCTCTTCTCTAGTCAAATCTTCTCATACAATTGCATTGTTTCTGGACCTATCCAAGGCATTCGATACAATTGATCATAACATTTTGCTTTTAAAACTGAATAGATATGGCATTAGAGGAGTGGCTTTGGATTGGTTTAGAAACTACACGTACATGTTTCTTTCTGATGGAAAACAGTTTGTCCAATGGAAACATTGTTCAGCAACTCTTAAACCTATCAGATGTGATGTCCCAAAAGGATCAATCCTCGGCCCTATTTTTTTTCTCATTTATCTCAATGACATTTGTAATTCTTTATTTTATTTGCAGATAATACTAATATTTTTTACAGTCATGTTCATTTACCGATACCGATAGGAATACTATTATTGATGTACATGTATATGTTTATAATTCAAAAATACGTAAAGTAAGTTCCTTCAAATTCTAATGTTTAAATTTGAAAACAATCTTCTGCCCCCTGAAACCAAATCATTGTTTCTGAGGAACATTGAAGTCTACTCACATAATACTAGGTCAGAAGCCAAGCTTCACATTGCAAAGGCAAGAACTATGATATTTCTCAATACAGTTCGACATCAAGGTCCTTTGCTCTGGAATAAAATCACCCCAATACCATATATGTACTTTAGAAGTATACATGGTTTTAAAAACGTACTTGAAAAATGTCCTCCTTTCCAGTGTAATATACAGTAGTTTATTTACCCTATGTTGTACATGTATTTTGTGGACGTATATGTCATTTCTACTGCGCATTTATAACCTTAATATTGAAACAGTCATGTCTAGAATTGTAGATCTTATGACAAAGAAAATCTTGCTTAATTCTAACGTTCAGCTGTACCTTCAATTATCTTACTCTCTTCACTCCCTCTTCTGTATTTAGTATTTATAGCCTAATATAGATTTTATTATAACAAATAAGGAACAAAGCGTTTTGCTTTCTGTCTGGTATCCGCCATTCATCATTTATTATTTTATTCTGTAATAACATTGCTTCTTTATGTTCTAATTATGATGTATGGAAATAAACCAAACTATCTGTTTCCACCCAACCTTCCCTGATCCCCACTCAATCTACCAAGAGGCTTGGGAGGATTTTGACTGGGGAACGTACAGCTCTGCCTCTATTGCTTCTTGTTACCCCTTAAATTCTCACAAAGTGGTACATGTACATTTTTGAAAAGGAAACTACTCACATAAATTATTAAGTGGGGCATTCCACAGTAACTGAATTTACAAGGCAAAGTTTTACTACTGTACAGTATTTGTATTGTAATTATGTGAATAGAAATATCTGGGGCTTGTAGTTAGTACAAATTTTATGAGTTAAGGAGAGTGAAGAAATAGGTGGGAAATTTTTCACCCAAACTGCAGTTCTCATTGAACAGCAAGCAAAAATACATGTCGGGTAACTGATGTTACACAAAAAGGACATAGAAAATTATTGTGTAGAATCAAATTGAAATATCTCATGTCCCTGACTTGCTAGAAGGATATACCTGTATTTGATTTGATATAATACATACATGTACATGTAGGTTCTTAGGTAGAGGTGCAAAGAAATAAGCTAAATCTTTCCTTTTATGCTGTGAAAACTTTAGGATATGACAGTAAATGATGTTACGCTTACATTTGCCATAGGATTTACACATGGAACCTTACAATTGAGAATTGATTTGTAATATCTCATGTCCCTCACTCATTAGAATGATTTGTGGAATCATATCTTGGTTTGTCAAGTGCAGATGCACAAATGAATGGAAACATTGGTCAATTTTCTTTATATTTTATGAAAATTTAGTTGAAAACATGACAATAACTGATTCCTAAACTATAAACAACAGAGATTACATCTGTGTATTTATTTATCTTAAAAAACTTGACCAAGGTTATTGAAAAATAGAAAAACTGCTGTTTTTTTAAAGCAATCATTAAGTCCAGATTTTAAAACCTTAAGCATAGCCCGTAATTAACTTTTGTGTATGTTTTAGACAATGTGGTTACCAAACATGTACACCCACAAAAATGTCACTGACTATCTGTTTCGGCTTACAGCTGGAACAGCTATTGCTGAATTTTGAATACTTAATATTTTGCCATAGGGTTTGTACACGTTTTTCTACTACAAACTATTATCAAGCTTAATGCGTGAGTAGTCCTCAACTTCGACCACGAATTAGTACAAGAAAGAGAAATCAGACTAAATTTTCCCTTTTGTTTGATTATAAATATAGTCAAGAGTCAAAATATAAAGTAATATTTCATGGAACGTTTTCAGTTTAAACGCAAATCTCGTGACATCAACGTAAAGGAGCAGTTTCTCTGCATACACTGTACCACTGTACATTGTGTGTGTTTTTAGAACATTGACTTTGTACAAGTACTGTACATGTTTCAAGGCCACCATAAGGTCACTGCGTGATGTTTGATCGCTATCAAAGTGATACCCAACAAAGACCCTAAATGGAGGATGTCATGGTGATGTCATCATCTGATTTTTTACTGATTTTTCGATATTTATTTCAGCTCATTGACTTTGTACACCATTTTGGTAACTTCTCGATGTTAGATCGTCATCAAATTTACAGCCAACAAAGACCATGATGAAACAATTTTGCTTTATTTGTGACATCACGATGATGTAATCACATAATTTTAAAATGATTTTTGGATTTTAATTTTCCCCCATGGGTTTTGTACAAGTTTTTCGACAGTTAGTCTTCGGCAATCTAGTTATTCAGCCTTATTTCGTTTATGTACACTTGTAGTCCATCATGGACAGAGGGTCCCAGGACAAAATCATCAAAATGACATCATCGGGGGTCACTTGACATGAGATTAAAGATTTTCTCTATAGGTTTTGTACACGTTTTTCTACTACACATGAATGACTGAGTAGTCCTGAACTTTGGCTCAAGATTACTGTGAGAACAAAAGAGAAATCATATAGTTTATGCTGTTATTCGAGTTGAAATGTTCCAAGAGTAAAAATGTCAAATAATATTTCATAAATTGTTTTCAATTTCAGTGCAAATCACGTGACATGAACTTACAGGAACATTTTTTCTGTATGTTTTTAGCCCTTTGACTTTGTACGATTTCAAGCCATTTTCACAATGTTCCATTGTAATCAACGTGATAGGCAAAAACGACACTGATACAAGAAATATTCTTAATAAACAAATGACATCACAATGGTGTCATCATCTGATTTATTATTGATTTTTTATAATTTATATAAGCCCTTTCTTTATGTTTTCAAGTCACCATTTCGTTAACTTCGCGATGTTTGATTGTTATCAAAGTTACAGGCAACAAAGACCCTGAAATAAGAATTACGCCAGGTTAATGAAGTCATGATGACGTTATCTTGTGAGTTTTGTATATATATTTTTCACATTAACCAACTTGAAATCGGAAACAGCTCTGTGGTTGTTGCTGTCACAACCACTACTCTAGTTTAGCTTTATTATCCTGTAGAACTTCAAATTTTTCTGTGGGTGATGGGCAGAGCATTTGGCATGCACTCAGAGCTGATGCTACTACCTTAAGATGTCCTTACTGGAAACCTGAAAAAGGAGGATCTTGTGAAGTTTAGAGTACCAACTCTTTAGCTTTAAGTGCCCTCGTGCATATACAACTGTTGGTACCTGTAGTGGCAGTTTTCATCACAGGGTCAGAACAGCATGTCTAATCAGGAAGCGAGTTTTGAGGCCATTACTATCTCTGCAGTGTTCACATTCATTCCGTTTACACTTCCTTGATTCAGACAAACAGATTATGGTATCCACAAACTGATGGTTCATATACTGGAACCAAGTATCAACTTTGTGAAGCGCATTAACAGCCATATCAAATTAAAGCTCACTTTCTCATCTTTCATTTTCGTTTCGATTTTCAGTGGCTTAACCGATGACTTTAAAAGATATTGCTCTCCAGAGAAAATCACCCCCCTCAAACCAGTCGTAGTCATGATGAGGCCCATCATCATTTTAAAAATTGATGCCTACATGTATGTACACTCCATAGCAAAATAGAACGACTTGGAGGGCCCCGTTTGGTCCAATACTTTCAGAAATACAAAGCTCTTAGTCCTGCTGATAGGTTTCATCCTCCTTGTTAAACTCTTTTTAAAGATCAAGTTATTAGCATACTTTGGCTGTCATTTTGAAAATCAAAATGGCCACTTTCACAAAAATATTGTTCACTTTAACCCATATATTGGTTGAAAATATAAGGTGTTCAAACCAAATACATGTATCATTCTGAATTTGTGACATCTGTGTCCTACTGTACATGTCGTGGAATTGCCTAAGGGTATTAACCATTCAGATAACATTTTACAACTTTAAACTACATTTTGACCCTAAATTACTGTACAGAAGGGTCTAATTTTTGTTTTACTGTTCATTTCCAAGTCAATGACTCAATGTCTCAGATGTTATATTGAGTGCTTTGAGTTTTAGGACATGTACATGTACAAGCAGTCATGCCATCGATCAGCTGAACATCTACATGTACAAGTAGTAATTTATTTTAAGCTCTAAATGGGCCTAAGTCTTGAATTAAACAAGATTTATTTCTTTATTATATTTATTCCTATCCACACATGTACATGTACATTTTGAGTGGCAAATTCAAACTAAGTTCAAAAATTTATAAATTTCTAAGGATTTTGTTCAACAGTTTTACTTCATTTTTTTCAAACACCTTTCGAGCCAGTTTAAGGTACTGTACTGTACATTCCTCTTGCAAGTCATGTTCATGCACATGTGGTCAAAAACACTCTCCTTGTATGGAAATTGGATAGCTAGTGTGTGGTGTGTAATGCATGACGTGGCACACCGCCAGCTGGTGTTTCAACTGTTTAAGACGGGCTCTCCACCAATGGGAATGGCTAAACTCTCATCCAAACACTGCTACGTCCATATGTAAGTGTTGTTTGATCATGCTTTGCATGGCAAAATAGCATACAGAGAGGTACACGTATGTATACAAGTACTGTACACCATGGAAGTAATTCCTTTTGAGAAATGGGGCCCCATACTCACTAGCACACACAAGACAGTATGTCTATGACAGCAGCATAACGTGTACATGTACATGTACTTTGCAAACATTATGCAAGGTGTACATGTACATGTACATTGGGGAAACTGACTGCGATTTCATCATTCGCCTCAAAGAATACATCATCATTGCTCATTATTGCTGTCAACAATTGGCACCCATGCCCCATCAGTGAAGTTACTGAGATTTGTAGACACAACACCATTCCCCAAGATATTAGCTTCAACCTAAGCAACGTCTCGTCCCTCCTTCACCAGCAACCCTGTGGGACGTCTACATACCAAGCAGTCCACACTTCCATTCTCTTTCCTCGGCCACCAACTAGAAAGTGACAAACACACACAA